CCAAGTTGGTGGTTTTTGTGGTGTTACCGGATTGATGGTCGTGACCTCGGAAAGGGTAGTTGACGGTTGTTCTTGCTGGCCGATCTGGACATACTCTGCGCTCTCCATCCCGGTGCTGGACGCCAGCCGAGATAAGGCGTCTGCTTGAACATTAAGAGTTCGGGGGATCTGTTCGAGGTTGGCGGAGAATTTTGATAATTTCCGTTTGGCCAGAGAGAGATAGGGTGTCAACCGAGGCTCTTTGACTTCATATGAACCATTAATTTGGTTGACAAGAAGTTGAGAGTCCGAGAAGACCGTAAGGTGTTTCACATTCATGGATTCTGCCAAATTCAATCCGGATAGCAACGCTTCATATTCGGCCTCATTATTTGTTGCCAAGAAGAAACTTTACTGAGTGACAGAATAACTTGTTTTCCGGGTCGGCTAAAACTATCCCTGCACCTGCTCGGTTGGCTGTGGAGGATCCATCAATATAGAGGACCCATGGTTGATTATCATTATGAACTGTGATGGCCGGAGTAAACTCGGCGATGAAGTCAGATAAGGCTTGAGCCTTGATCGCGATCCTCGGTTGATAATGGATGTCGAATTGTCCGAGCTCAATGGCCCATTTAACCATGCGTCCCGAGGTATCAGGTCGGTGCAGGATTTGGCGAAGTGGATACGAAGTGCGAACAGTTACAGAATGTTTTTGGAAATAAGGTCGCAATTTCCGGGCTGCAATCACAAGTGCAAACGCCAACTTTTCCATTGGAGGATAACGCAGTTCGGCATCGTGCAAGGCTTTGCTGACGTAATAGATAGGTGATTGCAGTGATCCCTCTTCATGTATCAAAACAGCGCTAATGGCAGAATCGCTAACTCCGAGGTATAGGAACAACATTTCCTCGGGTTTCGGCTTTTGCAAAGTCGGGGGAGAGACTAACGTTTCCTTGATGCTAACGAGAGCTTTCTGGCATTCCTCGGTCCATTCAAAACGTTTTCCTTTCTTGATTGCTTCGAAAAAAGGCTTGCAACGATCTGTAGACTTGGAGATGAACCGGTTAAGTGCAGCAAGTCGGCCAGTTAGGGCCTGAACACCCTTGACCGAGGTTGGGGGAGTTAGATCTTGAATGGCCTTTATTTTGGCCGGGTTGGCTTCAATGCCGCGCTGGCTGACCATATAGCCCAGGAACTTTCCAGATTCAACTCCAAACGTACATTTCTTAGGATTTAGGAACATGGAGTAAGATCGGAGGATGGCAAACATGTCTTGAAGATGTGTTATATGATCGGAGGCGTGCACCGACTTAACGAGCATGTCATCAACATACACTTCCATGGTGTGACCGATTAGCGTAGCAAACATTTTGTTAACAAGGCGCTGATATGTGGCTCCGGCGTTCTTTAATCCAAACAGCATCATAGTATAACAGTACAATCCTCGGGCCGAATAGAATGAGGTGTGCTCAGAATCTTCAGGATCCATAAGAATCTGGTTATAGCCCGAGTAAGCGTCCATGAAACTCATCAATTCATGTCCCGACGTTGCATCGACCATATAATCTATGTGGGGAAGCGGGTAACTGTCCTTCGGGCACGCCTTATTCAAGTCAGAAAAATCGATACACAGTCTCCATAGCCTATTGCTCTTTTTGACGAGAACAGGATTTGAGACCCACGTCGGGTATTTGGCTTCCTTGATGAACTTGTTGTCGATGAGTTTTTTGACTTCTTCTTCCAAAGCCTTCTGATGATCCGGCCCCAGTTTTCTTCTTTTTTGTACAACAGGTCGGATGGTTCGATCGAGGTTCAACTTATGGCTAGCGACAACGGGGTCGATGCCCTTCATATCCTCATGTTTCCAAGCGAAAACATCAGAATTGTGTCTGAGAAACGAGATAAGCTCTGACCGAAGTGGTTCTTGAAGACGACTTCCAATACGCAATGATTTGTGGAACACTGGTTCATCGATATAGATTAATTCTACGTCTTCTCCAGGTTCGGCTCGATCGCTTCGGCTTTTTTCTTTGAACAAGGCTCTGGGGTCCAGTTCGTCCTCTTCAAGAAGTGGTTCCTTCCCAGGCCGGTGACCTCGGTCTTCGGTTAAAGGATTCGAGGTGGAAGAATCGCCGACGTGGTTGTTTGGTTCTTCGGACACCGCGTCGTCTGAAGCGTGTTGCTGTGGGGAGGCTTCATCATTACCCATTGAAGTTGAATGAACTCCATTGGATGGGATAAAAGTAACAAGTTCTCGAGCTTCTCTTTGGTCTGCGAAGTGGGTTCCCTCTCCTCGTGTAGTCGGGAACTTCAGAGCATAGTGGAAAATCGAAACTGCAGCTCGAAGTTTATATAATGCGGTTCTGCCGATGATAGCGTTGTACTCATTATTAATATCCATAACCTTGAAAGTTTC